TCTAATTGTCCTTTTTTAACCTCCTTATTAACCAACTTATATCTCTTAAAATTTCACTCATTTTTATCGTTTTGTCACTTTTTAATACATTCTTCTTCTTTTCTTTTCTTTTTTACAACGGCTTGTATCCACTACTCTACCACCAAGTATTTTTATATATAAGGTTTTTTCCATGTGACTCTAAGGATTTCTTTCAATATTATTCTTATGCATTCCACCATTATATTCTACATGTTATTAGTATCACCTTCCAAACCCCACATTGCTTCACTAAACATTTTATCCTTAAATATTTTTACTTACTCATCTTTAAGTTTTTATTATAAATATACAGTACTTTTATTTGAACATCAGGTAGAATAGTTGCACAATGTTGCATCTTTCATCTTTTCTTCTCCTTCTCATTTGATTCCTCCTCGTTGACACTTGCCATCCATTATGGACCCCTTCCCCATACCATCTCAACTTCCACACCTTCCCTGTTTTTCTTTCCCTTCCGTGATATCCACTACAAACTACTTTAGCTCGTGGCTTTTGCCTCCTTTCTTTTCTCTAATCAAATATTACAATTTTACTAACACACTCTTATGAATGACTTGCCTTCTTAGCACCAACTATACAGATATTGACATCAGGATCATTGCAACCAAGAAAAACACCAATTTTTTAACCTTCTACCTTTCGAGTATTAATCTACCTTTGTTGTGCTAGTTGGTTCTTGGTTCTATATATTTCAGTTGGTTTCGAAAGATTGGCCTTTGATTGTAACGTATTGTAACTATTTGTGCACCCACCACATGTCATAAGCACACAACAACGATGGGTACTCTACATGTCATCATAGATGTCCTGTGTCAGCCAACAAAAGAAGCACATTTGGTCATCCTACAAAATTCCTTACAAAAACCTAGACTAAACTACTCTAATTTTGTGATTTGGTCTAGCACCCAAGAACACAAGAAGGTACATTCTTGTTATTATCCCGCAAGAGCTTAAGAGTCTAGGTCATACCTCCTATCTCTTTACCTAGATCAAGAGGTAGGGTGATGATGAGCATGGAAAGAAGACAAAAGGAAATTCTACAATTTCAAATGGACCACCTTTAAGTAGAGTTCTAGAATAGTTTTGAATCTTTAATTGCGTTTATTTTTAAGTACGTTGTTGGATAAATTTATGTTATTGTATTAGGATTTAGGAGTTCGGGATATTTTGGAAATTTCATAAAATTCCTGGACATTCGATGTAGGATTTGCTCATGGGTCTTTTTATAGTTCAAGTAACGTTAATTGATTTTTATTAGGTGTCCTAGTTGATCGACAAGATTTGTGGTTATCAAATATTTTTAGTTTCTAAATTGGAGTCCTAGTCCTTATAAAAGGAGGAGGGTCTAACAGCCTATAAATATATGTATAATCTCATTGATTCAATAGTTTTGAGTTATGGAAATTTAACATTGTGTTTCCATGAATTTACCTAACACTTGCAAGTGTGAAGCGTTGTTCCTCTTTGTCCTATTCTTTGTGAACATACCTAAGTTCTATGAAGCACGGGTATGGGTACAAGTACAAATACTAGTACGACACAGGCATATTGATATGATAAAATCCAAAAAAATATGGTACGGGTACGGCTTGGTACTTTTGTTAAAAAAAAAATATTTATTTTCAATTTTGAATAATGCAAAAATTGATTAAATTTGTCAAGATCCAACCTACAATTAACATTTAATGCCAAAACTGAAGGTATAAATCAAAATTAAATGTCAATATATTACATAACGTATAAACCATAGCTTAATTTTAAAATTATGCTAAGCGTAGCACGAAAAATAAAAAAGAAATCTAGTAAAATAAATTTTATCTTTGTAATAGAAGAAAATATTGTTTCAATTGAGGCATGGTACGTCTTGGGTATATACTAGTTTCGTCTGGGTACGCCAAAAATTAAAAATAAAAAATTTGAGTACTTGTTTTGAATACCCGGTACGTATACAGAAGTACCGTACAAAATATCATATGCTAGTAAGTACCCAGTACAAGTATGACGTGTTTTTCAAAATACCCATACTTCATAACCTAAGTTACTATTCTCAGGCATGGTTCAAAATGTCACCAATATGTAATAGTGTAGCTGTAACAGTGTAGCTGTTACATAAGGATATTTTGAGCATCTAATTCAAATACACATGCTTGTATCGGCGTAAGAAAAAAAATCACAATTATATTCGCCAATACAACATTGATATGATGTTGTATCATCCAATACAGCCGTTATTTGAACTAAAAACAGCCAATACGGCTTTTATTTTAACTGATACGGCCCATGTTGACATATAGCACACATAGACTCAATCTAGGTGGCATTTTACATCATCTATATATATATATATATATGCAGGACACGACACGTGGGGGACACGCACAGAGTGTATAATTTTATATATTTATTATATGTCATATTTATGAATATATCATTCTAAGCTAACAAATAAATGCAATATAACACTAATTTCTATAAATCAACATTAATTTTCTTTTATCATCATATTTCAAGTTTTTTTGTTCAAAATTATAATTAGTTTCACGTGTCTAATTAATGGACACGTGTGTTTAAGCAATGGACACGCGTGTCCTCTAAGTGTCCAAAGAGTATCCGAGTCTAAATTATTTTTAGAAAAATAAGACACGTTTGGATGAGTGTGAGACACGTGTCGGGAAAGTGTCTGAAGAGTGTCAGTGTCCGACACCGACACGACGCCGACACGCTATCTGTCTAGAAGTGTCCGTGCTTCTTAGTATCCATACTATTATTAAGTGAAAGCCTTAATTGATGTAGTGAAGCCTTTGCTCTCATGCCACGTGGCAGTATTTTTTATTTTTTAAAAAAAAGATACACAAAAGTGGGCAAGACTTGAACCCATTGCCATAGGTTTAAGGTAGGAGGACTCATACCACATAAGCTAAGTACGCATTATAATATTAATTTCATTATTATTTTCTATTATTCTTATTAATTTGAATTGGACATGCATCATGCGTACTACCCGCTAGCATTGGTATTAGCAATGCTATAGACCACTAATTTACCATCACTAATACCACCACTAGTGAGGTGGCAATTGAAAAAAAAAAAAAAAACAAGGCACAAAACACATGTGGCAGTGGGTGGGACTCACTGCCACATCATTAGAGCCACCACTAATTAGTGGTCTAAAGCATTTTTGTATATTGCTACTATCCACTTGTTTGAAATACTTAGATCTTATTTAGGGCTTGAAACTTCCAGATTTTAGTTTAATTTTTCATCATCCTACTTATAAAATTGTTAATTGTTATTGAATTTTTAGTTAGTGTTTCCCTTCTACATGACAACAGAATGATGGATATCAAATGTTTCTATATTAAAGAATGAATTAGCAACTAAAATTATTGTATTATCTATTTGTCGTAGCAATTCTAGTTATCCTAAATTGTGAAATCCCCTTAAGAGATGAAATTCTCCACATTTTTTGCCTTAAAAACAACATAAAGTTCAATATGAAGTTATAAATCATGTTTTTAGGTGCCACAGTGTTAGGTAAAAATCATTACACATTCAAATAGGGATAAATAAAATCAGAATATGCTTAATTATTAAATGATCCTAATACGTATTGTAGAATCTCACCCAAAAAGGCCATAATTGCTACATTTGAGTTTAAAGAAACCCTTTGGTACCACAAAGCTCAAGGCTTCAATGATTGATCTATGTCTTTCCAGGTTCTTCTCTGCAGGTTTCTATCTTTTTTCTCGGTTGGATTCCTAGCTATTATTCTTCTCCTCTTCTTCTTCATGCCTCTAGTCTATTGGGATCCTCTTTTTTTCGTTGAGTTTTACATCCTCTATTTGTTTTGGATTTTTATTCCTCTTCTTCACACCTTTGGTCTACTGGGTTTCTCTCTTGTTTTTATCTCTTCTGATGGGTTTCAACATCCTCTCTCTCTCTCACTCTCTCTCTATTGGGTTCTTCTTCGGTTCTCTGGTCTGTTGGATTCATCTTTTTTCCCCTTACTTTTCTTTGTCTATTTAGGTTCTTTTTCTTCTTTCTTTCCTCTCTCTATTGGGTTCTTCTTGTCTAGGTTAGGCTCCTTATTCTTTTTTTTATTGACATGCACATTTCCCTGACCACTGATATTTCTTTATTTTTTTATTCCCCTGCTAGCCAGTGTAACAATACAATGCATGTACATGTAGATCCTTTTTTCTAGTTGCTTAGTTAAGTTGTTGGATGTTATGCTTTATAATTTTTGGAATTTTAAAAATATTTGATTCTTATTATCTACAACTTGCACTTGACATCAATAAGAAGCGCACGCCACAGGAGACCTCTGTGCCTCAACGCGTCTTTTGTTTTAAAAACACAAGCAAAAATAAAGGGGTAACCCTATAAATTGATAAAATTAGACCTCTAACCACTCTTGCATAGAGTAGTTTAAATAATCTGACTTGCTGCCATCCTCATCAAGCAATGTGCTTTCACAAATTCAACTTATTTATCTATATTTTGAAACTATAAAGATGAAAAGCATTGGCGAAAACTCAATCCATAATTTAATTTGACTTAACACTGACCCCACAATCAATGACAATGAGCGCCAGCAATACATGCAAGTTTCACAAATAACAAATCACAGCAATTACTTGAGAAGAACAAAGAAAGAATGGCCATTTAGGGTTCAGTAATCAATTGTAAGTAGAAATAAGGAAAGCATACAATAAGAAGCCATTCTGTGTTGAAAACCAAACACCAACCCAATCGAGAAGACAATGCAGATATAATCTAGGGTTTAATACACACCCACACAACAACAAAAAAAAAAGAACCTAACTTTGAGTGAACCAGCATGAGGCTGTACAGAGAGAGAGAGAGATGCATATAAATAAACATAGACAGAGAGAGAGAGAGTAAGACTATGAGAAGTTGAGTGTGTGTTTGTGTGTGGGAGAGAAATAAAACCCTACCTGTAAGTGGGGTGAGAGGTGGAATCGCCATTGTAGTGGTTGTTTGTAGTGAGTCAGTAAATCGGAGACAGAGAAAAGAGAGAAACAAACAATGATCTATTGACGGCGTCACCAGAGTTCAGGTTGGGGCGACGCCAACAGAGACAGACAGACAGAGAGAGAGCTCCTCGACGGTAGCGTTTCAGCAAAAGAAATATAAAAATTTTATTCCCCTGGGAAAAGACCCAAAAAAACTGCAAATATTTTATCAATTTTTGTTAATGTTTTACCTTAACTTTATGACACATGATAATGTTTGAAATAATTGTACATGTTACATAAAATTTAACAAAATAGTTAATGACCCATGTTTTAAACTTTATTAACATGTTTTATTTGACTAAAATTAACAAAATAAATTTGTTTTTGTTTTTTCACATTTTTTAAAAATTGTCTAACTCAACTACACGAATAAAAAAATTTAAAAATTGAGTTACTTTTGAGAATAATTTACTAAAGATAAAAATAAATTAAATTATAATATACAAAATTTATATAATTTAAAATAAATAATAAAACTAAAATAAGTTAAACTAACAAAAAAAATTAAAAAGGCCAACTCTCAACAAAGAGCCAAATGACTTTAAAATATTATACATTCTTTATAAGGGATTTTTTTTCCCCCCCTTTTTAGGTCCCTAGTTCAATATGTTTTAGTTTAAAGGCAACTGAAAAAACTTTGATAGTTCAAGGACACCAAATATTTTATGAGCCATTATCAACTTCAATTGTTGCCGATAACCCCTTATTGTTGGTAATGATTTTGTGGTAACCCCCACAGGTCAGCCACATTTTTTTGGCAAATCTCCGACAATATTTTTTTGACAACAATCCCATGCTTTTTCCTGCCAAAAAAAAAAAAAAAACCTTTAAAAAAAAAAATAACCCATTTTAAAAAATTTCCTTTTTTGGAAGTAATTCCAATGCTTTTTCCTGCCCAAAAAAAAAAAAAAAACCTTTAAAAAAAAAAATCACTCATTGTAAGAAATTTCACTTATTGGCAGTGATTTTTCAAAAAAAAAGTTCAGTGAAATTTCACTGTGCTATGATTTTGAAATCTCATTTATTGTGTAAAGAACAAATGGATCTCATAAGATACTCAAGAAATTCCTTTGATTTCTTCCATTCACACTATTTTTGACATGAAAAAATAGAAAGAGAAAGAACGGAGAACAAGGAGAAGTGTAGTAAAGAGCAATAGCTATGCAATGAAAGTGAGAAAATAGGAAAAAATAGAAGAAAATTTTATATATGCACAAATCTGAACTGGTGAATAAGGTAGGTGATGGTGGAGCAAGGATCCCCTCCTTGACTTTCTTCATTGACTCCTTACTTGATGGGCTATTGGGTCAACTTTTGGGTCCAATTTCGATGATTCGAACCGTTCAAATTTTAGAATTTGTTATGTATATCATACTTGTAAAAAACCAAGTCGATCAGATATCAAAAATCATGTGAACTAAAAGTTTTATTAAACAATAAAACTATTTATTAAATTTTTTTAATAAACGGTTTTTAGTTCTTCCGATATTCGATCAATTTGATTTTTTACAGACATGATATACGTGACAAATTCTAAAATATGAACGGTTCGGATCATCAAAATTTGATTCAAAATTGGACCCAATGGCCCATCAAGTAGGGAGTTAAGGAGGGGATCATTGCTCATGATGGTGGCTATAAAGCAAACACTAGAGGCGTAGGTAGCGGATAATGATGGAGATTTGGGCTGACAATGCATAAACGATGATAGTTAAGGCACAAACAATTGTTTGAAATGGTGAATGGTGAATAGCAATCATGATCTAAATCGGGTAATGACAAATAACAATCATGATATGGATCGGTGATGTGCAAACAGTAATGAAGGCGACGTCAATTGATGGTGGTTGGTACAACATCGATGGATGCGGTTGAGGCGGAGATAAATAAAGTAAAAAATATATCAAAAGGAGAGAGATTTTAGAGAGAGAGAATTGTAAGAAGAAAATGAGATGGGAAAAAATATATATTTGGGACTTTTTAAGGTTTTAAGGTTATTTTTGACCATTTATGTCTAAAAAAATTGTATTCTTCTAAAATTTGAAATGTTAAAAGACCTCAAGTAGCAAATAAATTTTTGGTGTCTTAAAATTATCACACAAACATGTAGAGGGGTGTATTCCTAATTTTTTCCTAAAAGAAAAGTGAAATAAATTATATTTGTATGTTTTTTATATCTGTTGATTAAATATGAGGTGATGTGTAAAATTTGAACAATTATTATTATTATTGTTATGATGATGATGGTATGTCATTAATATATCAAAAAATAAAAAGAAATTTTCAATAAATGAGAGTAACAAAAAAAAAAAAAAAAGAGAAAATGTAAAATAATTATAAAACAGTGAGAAAATTTGTGAAGCTACCAAAATATCCTCCATTTCCTCTAATAGCTTCCCCTTCATCTCTTCCCTACAAATCCTAACACACCCACCGCCTACGGACCAATTTCCATCTCCCCTTAGCATTGATAGCCACTTATATTTCGTACAATTATTAACCGCCGAACAAAAATTAATTGGTCACATATTAATTACTAAACAAAAATAAATTATGCATATATAATTATCGAATTCGTTCGGTAGCTAATATCCAAACAATTAATTTTGTTCAATAGTTTATATTGGAATAAATTTTTTTACATAAATTGATAATTTTTGTAGTGGGCAAATAAAAGCTCCTTTGTATTCCTTTTTAAAAATATAAATAAATAAATAAATAAATAAGTGGATATACTTAGAAAATTTGTGAGTACAATGTATTTTGTAAAAATTATCCATAAATTCTTTTTGTGAAGCCTTTGAGATCGTGACACCAAGCTCAATGTATTTCATAAAAATTAGCCATAAATTCTTTTTGTGAAGCCATTGAGATCGTGAGACCAAGCTCAACTTGTTCACAACAACGCAAGTTACTATTCTGTTGGGCTTTAAATAATCATTTAAGGTGCAAAAGACAATTTTATGACGTCATTTTAGTAAGTTTAAATGCATCGATTTTATTTTATCTTTTATGTCAAGTTTCATAACTTTTTATGATCCATTTTACTTGTCTGTCAAATTTAGTTAAGTCCAACCCCAAAGGGTTGGCCTAGTGGATACAACTTAAAATTTAGGGGTATGTTATTTTTAGGTCTCAGGTTCAACTCTCATTATGAGCAATCCGCTCCTTGGGGCTATACCTGCGAATTATGTCAGAGATTTACTTGAGCCACGTGGAGAGGTGCTTTGCATGGGTCTCGGAATTAGTCGATGTACGCCTAAATTAACCTGGTCACCCAGTTATAAAAAATAAATATATATATGTATAGTTAAGTCCATTGACAATAATGTTGCACCACTACTAAAAAAGGACCTTTTGCAATGTTTTGCGACGGTCTCAAACGTTGCAAAAGTTTCACATGTTGTCACAAAAGATTTTTTGCGACGAAGTAGCGACGGGAAATAGAAGGTGGCAGAAAGGGGCATGACAAAAAATATTTGTAGCGGTTACAAACCGTCGCGTCCTTGTAATGACGGTAAATCAATGGTTTTTGCGATGGTTTAACCTACCACAAAAAAGCGGAGAAAACATCACTTTTAGCGACAGTTTAGAATGCCGTCTCCAAAACTTTTTTAGATACGGTAGTGAACGTTAGTATTATTAGCGACAAACTTAAACGTCACAAAAAAATAGAATTAAATTTGTCAAATTAAGTTCAGCAACTTTGGAGCAACTAATAAATGGGCACGTGCGGTGCACGTGAATGTTGTCTTTCAATGATTTGAATTTGAATTAAAATTTGATTATAGTACATACTCTTCAATAAAGTTAGAGTAATTACATTTCAATAATTTTAAATTTCTTCCTAGTTTAAATTTGAATTAAAATTAAATAGTACATGTTCTTTATTGAAGTTAGAAATTTTAAATTTCTTTCATCTGCTTTTTGCCATTTGAAATTGAATTAAAATTAGATAGTGATACATGTTCTTCATTGAAGTTAGAGCTAATTACATTTCAATGATTTAAAAAAAATAAAAATAATAATAAAAAAAAATTGGGATACAAAATAGTGGTTAGTATGATAGATTATGATGTAGGTAAATATCATTCCATAGACTCAAATTTAAAATCTTATTTATCTTGACACTTAAATACTCTCACCATGACTACTTAAGCAATTGAGGTCTTCTTACGCTTTGTCTTACAATATAAATGAGAAAGTTGGGGATATGAGGGTGTTTGTTTGGGTTTTTTTGACCCAACTTATAACTTTTGACTTTTGAAAAGTTATTTTGGACTGTTTGGTTAAACTTATTTCAAACAGTTTTTGATTCTAACAATTTTTTTTAAATCAAAAAGCTGATTCTGAGAAACTGCTCACCCCTTACTTCTGTTTATCAGCTTTTATTGTGGACATGTTAATTTACGGTTATACTCTTAAATTTTTTTATTTTTTTTATTTTTTTAAAAATAGAAAAAAACCCAAATTGAATATAAAATAATATTATTATTTTTTATGAGAAACGTAGATATGTAGTGAATAACAAAAACTAAAATTTAATTGAAAAAACTACCTCACAACTTATTTAACAAACACTACTCAGCAATTTAAATCTATAATCCAACAGGTACACCAAATAGATTAACAACTTCTAATTAAAGTCATAATTTATAATCTGTTAAGGTATAATTTATAATCTGTTTTAACAGTTACACCAAACGGAGCCATAACCCATAATGGTTGCTACATTCTCCATCATGTTTTCTTTTATATATATACTTATTGATATTACGGTTTTATTTTCTAAGTGGTTTGTAAAAGTTGTATACATAATTTCTACCATGTTGTTTGAAATTTGTCCTATTCACCTGAAAGGGGCATTTTGCGTAAATCTCAAAATTAGTTAAAGTACACATAAATTAGTCCGAATATCCAGTCATCAACAAATATTTTGTTAACCTTTTTACTTGCTTAGTTTTCGTACTCTTTTCACATGTCTTAACATTTTTTATTATTTATTTATAAGGCTATGGTGTTTTGATGTGCTGATAGTAATATATAGTTAGTAATAATTATTATACAAATAGATAGCAAGTAAACACATAAATCATATATATATATATATATATTATCAAAAGAATCA